CAACCAATCTCCATTCCTGCTTGAAGAACTGATGCAAACTGCTTAAATTCCTCCTAAGGGAAAGAGAAAGAAAAAAATGAAAAGATCTGTTGTAGTGAACCATCTGACTTCACTTTTATAAGCACTGAAAAAACCTTCAGAATTAACACATGTACCACAAAGAGCCTCTTACAAATTTGTGGCTTTTATCAACTTGCCCAGAACTGTATAAAGCATAGTTCTCCAAAGGACAATTATAAGTCCCATTTGTCTGTAAGAGTATTAGTTTACACACACACACACACACACACACACACACACACACACAATCAACCAACAAAACAAAAAAAAAAAACTGTCTTGATTAACACGATCCCTTTGGGTAATAAATCATACTGTTTCCTCATTATCTGGTGACTAGTTATAGATGAGTCTTCCTTCCTTTTTTGCTTAAACTCCTTGTCATGCCTCCAGATCCAGGTCACTGTCTATGGAACTTTCTTTGACTGTTGCAGAGAGTCACACTGTAGCTTTTGTTCTACAACTTGTGGCTTATTCCTGTAAGGTAGCACAAGGCCTACCTTACAGAAATAAGCTAATCTATAACTATAACTAATCTCTAGTCAGATTAAGTAAGCTTCACACCTGCTTTAACTTTTACTCTACTGATATTTAAGTTACCAGCATCAAAATCCCTTCCTTTATGACCTTGGTTGATGAAAACAGCGCAACTCCAATTATAGAAGTCTCCTTTGCCATGGTATCCCGCGGGTTTATTTCAATTGAGCCTCTGCAACCAACGACCTATTATGCAAATGACACATCTGCAGTTAGATATTACTGCAAAATAGTGTTAAATTGTCATAAAACTTTAAAGTGGTAAAGAAAACAACTTACTATTACTCGTCCTCCATATGACAGAAGTTTCAAATCATTATTAAGGTTTACATTAGACAACATCTCAATAATCACATCAATTCCTTTTTCACCAACAGATTTCTATATAATAAAAAGAATACAGAGGAAGATAACAAGTGAAAAACACTATAAAATAGCTATTAGAGTGTCGTATTTTACAGAAACTTCTTCAAATGACATATGAAATGTTACCTATTTAAGATAATGCAAATGTTTAAATGATATAGTTATACAAAGATGATCAATATAAAATACTTTTTCCTTAGCTAAAAAACTATCTCCAAAATGAACCTTTACAGAGAAGTAAACAAATAAAAATTCCAAGATCTTCAGGGAACTCTCATTTTTATTATAAAAAAAAGAAAAATAGCACCGGCTGCTTGATACTGCAGTGTGTGTGTGTGTGTGTGTGTGTGTGTGTGTGTGTATGTGTGTGTATCCACACTCATGCATGTGAGTTTTCAGCTATTTTCTAAATGATTTACAATCTGTTTGTCATACACACTAGTTTTCTTTTTCTTGGTTCCCAACATCTATAGCTGTAACTTAAGAAAAGCTAATACACATTTACATTATATTTATTTTAACAAAAATGGATACCTGTGCCAGGCATTATGCCAGATGGCAAAGAATAAGCACAACATGCTCAAAAACATAGGAAGGAGGCAAGATAGAAAACACTAAAATAACAGCTAACATGCAGTGGCCTTGTGCTACATTATAGAAATAAGCCACAAGTTGTAGAACAAAAGCTACAGTGTGACTCTCTGCAACAGTCAAAGAAAGTTCCATAGATAATGACCTGGATCTGGAGGCATGACAAGGAGTTTAAGCAAAAAAGGAAGGAAGAGGAACAAGGGGAAGCCAGATAAGAGGCAGAGTCTCAATGCAAGAAGCTAGCCAGGCATGGTGGTGCATGCCTGTAATCCCAGCACGGGGGTGGCTGAGGCAGGAGGAACACTGTGAGTTAGAGACCAGCATGGGTTACAAAGTGAGCTCAAGTCCAGTCCGAACTGCATAGTGAGACCCTGTCTCCAAAACACAAAAAAGAAAGAAAGAAAGAAAGAAAGAAAGAAAGAAAGAAAGAAAGAAAGAAAGAATAAAATTCAAAGAATATACGAAGAACCTGAGAAGGAGGAATAGAAGAAAAAAAGGAGGCATGTGCAAGTCAGTTTTCTGCTCATACAAGAAAATACCTGAGGTGATCGTTTTACAGAAAGAAAGAAAGAAAGAAAGAAAGAAAGAAAGAAAGAAAGAAAGAAAGAAAGAAAGAAAGTAAGTTTAATCTGACTCAGTCTTGGGGGATTCAGCCTACACTCTCTGCGCTGTTGAGTTCTAGCAAGACAGTGGGAGGTGAGCGGCGGGGCGAGCTGCTCACCTCACAGTGGTCCAGCAGCAAGGACAGATGTTTTAGTTACTTTACTTGTGGCTATGACACAGTATCTGACACCCACACCTTAAGGAAGGGGAGGTTTATTTTGGCTCATGGTCTATAGAGGGTTCAATCCATAGTCAGCTGGCTGCAAGGCAGGGGGGAGGGGCGTGCAGCAGAGGAGGCTTCTACGTGGCACAGTGGCAGGGAGCAGAGAGCTCCAAGAAGAGAGAAGGAGCCGGATCCCTCAGGCCACGCCCACAGCGAGCCCCTCCCCCAACCAGGCTTCCCCTCCAACATCACACTTAGCTATAAACTCAGCAGTGACTGTATCCACTGCTGAGCATCACCCACCCCATGATCCAGTCACCTGCCAAACCCCACCGATGAGGAGGCTTTGGAGGGACAGCTAGACATAAACATAACAAAAGAGAAAGAGGAAGGCCCCAGGTCCCTAAGTGCCCTCGCAGGGGGTGCTTCCTTGTGACCAGAGGACTTCCAGCTAGGTCTCATGGCTTAAAGGCTCCGCGTCCTCCCAGTAGTGCCAGGGTCTGGTGGTCAGACTACTAACACAGGGGCTCTGGAGGTACTCATCCAAACCACTGTGAGAGACACGATGTCAAAGGGCACAGATTATGAAACACTCTAAACACATGCTAAGGACTCTGGAAAATATTTTTAGAGTAGGTTTCATTAATCCCTGTGCCAGGCACTATGTTAGGCAATGCAAGAGCAACAGAGAAGCAGAGTGAAAACTCCCTTTAGTAATAAGAGATTCTACTTTAGTAACTTTGGAGGAATTTTGTTTGTTTTTTAAAGGACAGGCAAAAATATGCAAGGGGTTGCCAGCCCAGATCTGAGTAATAGCCAAGCCTAGAGAAACAGACCTAACTAAGTCATGATCCAGAATGGTGTCCATATCAAAGATATATCAGAGATAGAACGAGATGAACCTCATAGCTGAGAAGGATAGGGGTTAAAGGGTATAAAAATAAGAGGAGGGTTTCTGTCTTGGGTGACCAGTGGTAACCTCTAGCAGGCTGACAGTGTGGGGAAGTGGAACGCAGGCCAGACACAGGTCTGGAAATCCAGTGTATGGGTAATAAGTGATGCCGTGTGAATAACGAGACTGGCCGGGATGGAAGTCCAGCACGTGGAAGAAGAGAGCAAGGGAAAACACCCTTGAGACACTAATACATAAGTAACATGCAAAGCCAGTGGATTGAAAGTGAATTGTCAGAGAGGAAGGAAGACAATCAGCCTCAAGGTGATATCAGCAGGGTCACACGCTCCAGAAAAATCAAACAGGACAAGCAGCCTGGTGACCAAGTGCGTCAGTGACCCTGGCAGCAGTTTAAGCACCTGGAACATAGGTGAAATTGCAATGGGAGATAAGGGAGAAAAGCAGTAGGTTCTCATTACTGTCTCTAGAAGTTTGGTGGGAAAGGAGAGCAAAGGGGTGAGCCGCCAGGATAAGGGACTGGTGTATAGAGAAGAGGAAAAAACAAGTGGAATCAGAGAAAGATACAGATTGGCCTTACAATTAGATTACTGCTAAGTAGTAAAAAAATTCATACACCAACAGACATTTTTTACTGTTACATATTTTCTTGCAGAACAGTAATGGCACTATATGCTGGGTCCTACGATCCCTGGACGTACATAATCATCTTTGCTGAGTTTTCTGGCAACAGGGTTTATTGCTAATCAACTTCCAGCCACATTGTTCATTGGTTCGTAATGACTGAATAGGCATCGCACCCACCACTTGGGAAATTCGAAGGCCTCCTAGGGGTTGGAAGACTAGCAGAGGAATCAGTTTAGCAAACGGGTGCTAGGAGGAGCTTCAGCATCTGCCTTTGGACTCTTATGCAACAATGAAACGCTGCCACTTGGAATGAGATAAGATTTATTCCTCCCAAGAATACAGGAAACAAATAAAAATTTATGCCTGCCTAGACAGATCCAGTTTGTATTCTGTGGATACCTCACCTTCCATGGCAATGTCACATCTGTAAATACAGAGCTGTGGCTTTACTTAAAATGTGATTTGCATTAAAGAACATCAATTTGTATAGCTACAAGACTTCAGAAAGGTGATATTTAATAGATACAATGCACATATCATAGTGAAGGTTGGAATATGAACATGTCTGCTTTTAAAATTAATTAACACTTTCAAACACACAGGCACAGAAACACATACAGGCATAAATGAGGAAGCAAACAACTTTATGAGACTAGTTAGTGAAAAAGCTTATAAAAACTCGCATGTCTCCAGTGACCAATCTGCGACTCTTATAACACTGCAGAAAATCTTACCTGGATTTTATTAATATAATCAGCTTCTTTGTGATCAAACACTTCATGGGCTCCATTTTGCAAAACAATCTTTCGTCCCTCCTCACTACCAGCTGTGCCCAAAACCTGTAAGCCGTAAGCTCTAGCAATTTGGCATGTTGCTAATCCAACCTGAAAAATAAAATATAACCCAGTTACATACTCTCTGCATTCCTGCAAAAGTTATTAAATATTCCTGTACAATAAGCTTACTCTTTTTAATCTGTCCTGGAAGAACTTACAGCATACACAAAGAAATAATAATTTGGCATTATAATTTTCTCAGTATGTTAAATATCTTGTGCACATTGCTTTACTTCATCCTCATGATCATTCTATGAAGAAGATATTTTTCATCTATACATCTATATTCCACAGATGAGGAAGCTCAAACTTCAAAATAACAAGTACCTCATGGGAGTCAGATACGGAGAAGGAACAGAGCTGCGCCAAACTAGACTGCAGAACTGAAGCTGCTAACCACGGCTCCGCAGTGCACTGGTATGGGCGCAGGAACGGGCGTTAAATGGTTTAACAAGCCTTTATGTTGCAGCACCAGGGCCTGGGTCACAGCTGTGCTAACCTCACCCACCGATGAGTTCCTAGCTGAATGGCCCTTGGAAGCGAGATGCAAAAAGCAGGTCGACCGGGACAGGGGCGCCTCTGCAGGTGTATTCTGCTCCCTGCCTCTTCCTCTCTCTGGATCTTCCCCTGTTCTTGGCTGCCATGAGGGGAGCAGCTTTCTACTAACAACCCCCTCCACCAAGAGCAACAGAACCAGCTGACCTGAGAGAAGCCTCTAAAGGTGTGAGCCCCAGTATACCTTCCTCCTTCGAGCCGTTATGCTAGCTCTTGCGTAACCCTGATGAAAAGCTAAGACAACGCTGAACAATTACTCAGCGCTTACTATGTGTGAGCCATAGTATTTAAGAAAATAAACTTATTTTCTTTTTTTTAATTTTTTTTTTTTAGTACCGGGCATCAAACTCAGGACCTTACACTTGCCAGGCAGGCACTTATGCCTCTGAGCTGCATCCCAGGCCCAGAAACTTACCTTCTAAGGAGTGGGGAGCTCATAAACAGAGGCATGAACAAATGCATAAAATGAACTCAGAAAATAATGAGAGCTTAAAAAAAATTAACCTGGCTATTGTGTCAGAGTTAGGGGTCTTGAGATCAACAGGGCGGCCACTCTGCAGAAACAGAAACCAGGCAGGGAGGAAGTGAGCGCCAAGCCATGGGAAAAGCAGGGCAGCTACAGAGGGCCGGTGTGGACAGAAGACAAGGCCAGGGCAAAGCGGTGACATGCAAATGCGCTCAGGGGTGGAGAGGACAGAAGGACGGTTGACATGGGTCAGAGACAGCGCATGAGAGAGATGCAAGGGTAGGCGAGGGACACAGGACCAGGGAGGGGAGGGTGAATGTTCCTGGCTATGCTAACAGCTGGCAGGATCAGTCAGGGCGCAGCCAGGAGGAAGCGTATGAGCAGCCTACGCTACAGGAAAGGTCACACAATCCTAGCGGAGGCACAGGGAAGATAAGGAGGGCTGGGACGGAAGATCAGCGATGGCTAACACAGGCGTCCAGATGAATGCAGCTGGCAGGTGGCCCTGGACAAACGCAGACACAGGGCAGAGGTAAGAGACTTCCTCACAGAGGAAATGTAGAAGGGAAGATAAGGCAAGGATGCTCCCCGGGGCTTCGTCTAACCTTACGGGTTACAGTAACTGAGCAGCCGGGTTGTCGAAGCATCAAGAACTTATTCAGAATATGCTGAGCCGCACGCACTTAAGGAAGTGCTGATATTCCACAATCAGATAAATCATAACAGTGGTACCTCAGTTCACAAACTTTTATTTACCCATTTATTTATTTATTTCCTGTATTTAGGGCAGAGTCTACAGGGTCTACAGGGTCTCACTCCATAGTTCAGACTCATAAGTGATCTTCCCGGGTTCAGCCTCCGAAGTGCTGGGGTTGCAGGTGCACGCCGCCACACCTAGTCTCAATCAAGTGCTCAGTGCACCCTGGGGGAGGGGTCGGCACAGCACTCCGGGGAGTGAACCCCCACCGCTGGGCTCTGCCTAAGCAGGTGCTTCAGCCTGCTGAGCTATCTGGCTGGCCCTAAACATTTGCGGCGGGAGTGGGGGTCTGGCTCAGGCTGTCTTAAGGGCAGGTCTGGTAAGGCATGTGGAGCTGGGGATCGACTGCAGTCCCCACGCCTGACTGGGTTTGCCCGAGCAGGCATTTAAGTAATGGAGCTAACCCGCAGGCCCCCTAAATTTTATTTTATTTATTTGTTTTTTCTGGTTAGTAGTTTTTTAATTTTTTTTATTTGTTTTTTAATAATTTTATTGAGGAACAAATAGCAATGAGTTAGTTTCAAAACTGATCAGTAGGACAGTTTCAATAAATCCACAGCACATTGTTGTCTCAGTGGTTATTCATTGTACAAGATGTAAACATGACATCCCGTCCACAAACACTATTAGAACAAATCTTCTTATTGAGTTGAGAGAATGTAGCTGTATATCTATTCTAACTTTTTTGAATATACAGATACAAAATGGTCATTCACTTGTAGTCCCTTTTCCTAGTTAGTTTTGTCAGAGAAGGGTATTCCATTGTTATTTAAATATTGTAGGTGCAAGAATTCAGCAAAATATTCCAGTATAGTCCAGTAGTACATAATAGTAGTGGGTCATCCACAGGACTGGCAATGTCAGAAGTTGTTGACCTGAGTGAGCCCTTTGTAGCCCAGCATACCAACATGGCTTTACCCATTTATATCTCATTTTTATATCTTTCTGCTGGATGGTTAAGACCAGGATAAAGCAAGACCTATATAACAAGAAATGTAACTTTTGTATCTGATAAGGTCAGTTAAGTCCCCTCAGGATTTATCCTGAAACCCTGCAGATCCTTTGTCAGTGTCAGCCATGTGGCTGAGTCATGGCCATTGCTTGACCAATTTGTTCTCTGTGAAAGCCTGAGAGAATGTTTTCTCTCTATGTGACTCTCCTTAGGCACACTCTATATCTTCGATCACATTCCTCTGTGGCCCCATAATCTCCTTGATCAGAAAATTTGGGACACAACTGAGTTACATGATATTACAGTATAGGTTCTCAGCTAACATCTTGGCCCTAGCCTTTCAAGGTCAGTGAAGACTCGGGACATAAGAGGCCCCCTAAATTTTAAACAGAAAAAAAAAAGGATACAAAATTTCAAACCAAGACAGAAGGAGAGTAACAACGTTTAGTACACTTCTTATTGTTATCTTCAAAATAGTAGCTCTTGGTTCACAAACTTAATTTTTTGCACAATTCTGGAAAGGAATTTGTGTTTGGGTGGGAAAGATGGCCATGGTTGCATTTGTTACCAGATGCAGAGTTTGCAAACAAAAACAAAACTTTGGCAAATGGTTCTGTGTGGGAGCCAAACTGTTTGCAGACCAAAGTGTTTGTGAATTGAGGTACCACTACATGACTCAAAAGAGTTCAGAGTGGAAGCCATGCAGTTGGTGCCCCTCATTTTGTGAATGGGATTTAAAACCACAGGATACAGTGAAATCATCAGAGCACCAGATAGGTGTGCTCAGTATAAAAAGAGAAGTAAAAGTAAAGTTTAGGAATAAGAGCAATTATTTAAACAGTAATGCTGGAAAATATGTTGGGCTATACGGCAAATGCATGGCACAGTTAGGCCTCACACTGTCAGATGACTTTCTGAGCTTGGCACTGGTGGCATCCCTTGTCTGATATTTTCAGGGAACTCTCTCTTGTGAGGACTCTCCTGAACTCGGAAGGAAGCTTTCACAGCATTCCCAGATTCTCCCCACTAGAATCTTCTTCCTCAGGGTGACATCAACTAACCACCCAGAGAGGAAGGAGGGGAAGATGTGAAATCACCCTCCTATCACTGATCCAGAGGAAGGACTGAGTTGGGCAAGATAGAAAATAATTGAAAGGAAAAATGATGAAAGGAATCTGCTAAAGGTATAAGCAGTCACAAACTCCCAAAGTTGAACTGCACCTCACAGACTACGGCATCTAGGATTGAAGAGCCTGCACGCAGCCAGGTTACAGCAAGGATCTGTTCAATCTCACAAATACATGGAACTCTGTAAGCATGAAGAGAGATATCCAATTACATGAGATTTGGGACACCTGTAGGGTCAGCACAGTTGACTTGTACTCTGATTTTCAATTACAAAAGTAGACCTCTAATAAAACCACATTTTTAAACTAAAGATTTAATGTAAATATACATCTTTATCCTCCGTTTTTAAGGGTTCCCCAATAGCTTTCTTAAGGATACTGTGTATTCTTGTCCACGATTGTAGTAGCAATGCTCTCTCTCCAAAGATTATACGCCATTATTGTCAACTGTTTTTCTTGGCTTATTTTGCTGACACTAAAGTAGCCACTCCCTACCACTACATCAGGACAATAGCTGTCCTCATAAATCCCACACTGTTTTAAACACACGACATAATCCCAAAGGTATCTGAATTCAATGAGGACAGAAAGTACAAACAGAAACAAGGCAAAGCCTAGCACCATCTCCCTGGATAGGACAGGAAGGATCAGAAGCGCTTCACACACCAGGATGCCTGCCCACCCCCCACCAGCCAAGGATAACAAACACAGCCGGCCCGAGGAAAACAGTGTGGATTTTTATCTTTAAAAAAAAAAAAAACAGTGAAGCACCTGAGCTTTTTACAAGAGGGTAAAAGGAATAAAAAAAGATTTTCTTTAAACTCTTCACTCTCTTTCCTACCGAATTTTTCCACTTCTTATGGAGCATGGGGTCAAATCTCAGAAAGTCAGAGCAATTTAAATAAATGCATGTACTTAACAGACCTTTCAGTTATTTAGGGTCAAATTTAATTTAACCCAAATATGCTCTCCTTCATAAAGCTAAACAAAAGAAATAAAAATAAAAATATAGCTAAACAATAGGAGTTTTTGATAGGGTTCATCTGTCATATTTTCTCAAGCCTCATAAAGACAATCTTGGTGTTTCTTAGTAAATAATCTGTGAAATCCTTTAGAATTAATCTATTTGGGATATACCTACATAGGAGACCTTATGATTTATTTGTCTAAAGTTGTAGAAAGGCAAAAATAGACTGAATTCTCTGTCCTCTTTGAACAGTAAATTCACACTTTCAGGAGATCCACTCTCATTATTGAGAGCACAGTCCACCGTGTAATAGGTTATTTCCTTCCATGGACTCCTCAGAACCCACATGCCCCCAAAGGGTTACCTCGCTTGCTTAAGATGAGCTGTCTTGCCCTAAGCCCTTTATTTTTAAACAATGTGAAATCTTGTCTCCAAAATTTCTAAAGCCTCTCCATGCAGCATAGAGGTCATGCGGATTTCTTGTTAAACTCCAGCCTCAGAGCTCTAACTTTTCCACTAAGCTCCTCAGAGGCAGATTGGCAGCCGGTTTCTTGAATTGGTTGCTGACAGGCCTGCACTGGGCGATTTCCGTGAGGGGCTTCTTTTTATGAGTCCTCCCCGCAGCATTAGCATTTTAAGCCGTGGGCTGTGGTGTTAAGGACACAGCTGTACACTGTGCACTCCACGAATGTCATCAAAGCACAGCAGGCAAGCGGTGAAGGCAGAGAGAAGAGGCGCAGGACGCGCGGTATGGCTCTGCCATGCTGTCCTGGGCAACACAGGTAAAGCTTTAATGAGCCTTATTTCCTTATCTGAAGGAATATGGAATTAATATTAACCTTTAGAACTATTTAAAATTCTAAAATAAATATTCTTGCAATATATGCCACTTGAAGGGACAAACAAGGCCAGTTTATCTCAGTCCACACCCAATACAGATGTGAAGCCTGATCCATACATCTTTGATGGGTGCTATGCTGAATTTATTAACCAAGACATGCTAAACAGGCTGGCAAAGAATCACCTCCAGAAGACTGAATTTTAAAAAGGAGTACTGCAGAAAGAGAAAAAAAGCAGTCGTGACTGTAAGTTTAGTTAGGTAAGTATTAGAAACGGCTTGATTGTGATGTGCAACTTATGAATCCAAGCTCATTGAGATTTCAACTCAAAAAAAAGAAAAGGAATACTTACTCCTCCGCTGGCTCCATGAACCAGAATTTTCTCTCCAGCTTTCACACGGGCACTTCATGCAAAAGAAAAGAAAATGTACACAGGTTCCATCACCTTATCTTTGGAAGTTAATTAAGTTCAGTATTTTGTGTCATCTTCAAGAACTCTGCTAAATTCCAGCTAACACTTACCCAGAAAGCAAATGCACTCTCAAAGCTCAAGATGTTCTCTAGGCTCTGGGGGATCAAACAAGAGCCGCAGAGGAAGAGCACCTCCCACTCATTCTTTCATTCTGCAGCGGGTCTCCCAGCAGGGGTCACATGGCTGGCCCTGAGCTGGGTACAGGCATCAGGTCCCTCCAACAGGGGTGCTGCAGTGCTTGCAGGTACATTCTGTGGAGCTGCCAGGCTTGGATGACCTGGACTTCCTCATCCCCATCCGTTCCCACTGAAGACCACTGGGGTAGACTCAAGCCCAGTCTATTCTGAGTCCAGAGCCATGCCCCAGCATGCTTTGCAGAAGGATGATTTGCAACCAGAGCTAAGAAAGTCTTGCTTCCCCATGGCTTTCAGCATCTGGCTGCTCCTGTCTTAATGCTTTCATTCCAGAAAGCAGGGCTAAGTCGGCAAAGGATACACAAAAGCTGCCATTGAGGTTCCCATGGTACTCCCTAAAGTGACCTGATCCTCTAGGCAAAGGTCAGTGTTTTCACTTCCAGGTCCCATGAAACATTTCTATTATTCAGAGAAAGCAAACAACAGGCACCCAGACAGTGAGAGGATGCTCTGCAGTACTGGCGCAGCAATGCTACACGATAGGACACAAATACTATGCAATGAAGCTTTGGAAAACTCTCACCCACAACTCCTCAAACACTAAGAACATATTCTTCTAAATCTCTAAATCTCCCAAATCTAGGGTAAGTAGGAGACACCAGGCAAAGCCCTTCTATACCCCACTTCTACTACGATCATTGTGACCCCACATAGCCACTGTCAGTCGCTACAATCATTAGTTTTATGTATCGAGTTGACAGGGTCACATGCCTCCTATCTGTTCACTCATCCCTCTGAAAGCGTCTCTGAGGCCTTTGGGGATGAGATTCACATTTACATTGGTGCACTCTGAGTGCGGCAGATTTCTTCCTGCAGGCTAGGTGGGCTGCACCCAATCAGTTGAAAATCTGCACAGAGGAAACACTGGCCTTCTCCAACAAAGAGGGACTCCTGCCAGCGGGCTGGCTGTGAACTTACACTGCAACTCTTTCCAAATCTCTGGCCTACTCAGAGAACTCTAGATTTGCAAAACCTCTGCACTTCATGAGCCACCACTGCCAAGCCTGGCCATTGCTGCTTCTGCAGAGACCTCCTTGCTGTACTTAACCCTTGGCTTCCCTCCTCAGCAGCCTCATCAACAACTGCTGCTAACACTGCCAACAGGTGCTAGCCTGAGCTCTTTTCCTTTCCGCCACACCCCAGGAGTAGCTGCTGTCATTATCCATGATTTTCAAATTAGTAAACAACAACTGAGATTGATGAGTAATCTGACCAAGCTTACTACCCAGAGAAGACAGTATGTTAGTCCAGGTTTTCTATTTGCAGAGTCATGTGCTAACTGAATGCTAACTATCATGGCCTTGAGAGCCACTCCCTCTGGTCCCTGAGGACTCTCTTCCCTCCCTGTGACCACATTCATTAACACCAACATTCACTGGGGTCCTCCTCTCACTCTCTAATCTCACTCTCTAAGGGGCATCCGTCACTTCTCATCTTGTCTCCCTCTCATGCTGACAGTCACAAGCCCATGTTTCCAGCTGTCAGATCCCACACATTTATTCCACAGGCTACTGCGCTTCTCCATCGACATGTTCAAAACCAAGCAGAGTTTAGCTTCAACATTTTCTCTTCCTTCTATTGCAATTATATATTATTTGTTGGGGAGCAAAGTTTCACACTTTTGCATACTTCCCTAAAGGATAGAGTGAGCTTGGGATTTTGGGCATCACTCATCTGAGATTTCCCATTATCACTTTAGGGATGGGCCCTCCTCGTCTACCTACTAAGACTAAAACTAAGACCACTAGATTAAAAAGCAAACCCGGGCAAGACCCTTCTCAGCAAAATATCACCTCCACCTGCTGAGTCACCTCAAGTCATCCACCTGTGAGTCTTCCAACCATCTGAGCACTCAGCTAATCTCTCCTCTCACTGTATCTACCCAATAAACAGTGGCCAGTTAAGTGTCTTTTGTCTCTGCCTGTTCTGAGGCACTGACCTCCCAGACCTCCTTCATGCATTACTAGAACTAGATTCGTCTGTTTATTACACCTTTTAGCCATACAGCTCAAATAGGCAGTTGGGGATCCTGGCCAGGTCCCTGATAATTACCCAAGACAGAAAACTCCCTGTGGCCTTAAATTCTCCTTCTCCCTTGGAATATTCTTCACTTGGAAATTATCAGCAAATAGTCTTGCTTTTATTCATGCTAAACCGTTGATCTTTCCTCTTCACCTCTTTTCATATAATCTTTGCTCTGGCCCATAAATGTCTTGTCCAGAGGAGCCTCCTACAAGACTCTGCTATCTCTTTCTCCACCCCTATCTTCAAATCCTCTCCACACAAAGTGGATAAGTGATCCCAGTGAAACACAAGTATAACAAAAACACTCTCCTGAATCACACATTTCATGACCCCCACAGTCCATTACAGACCACTGCGCGGTCCCTCTAGATCTCTACCATCTTAAACCTGTTTATTTTAGGGTAAAAGCTAACGTTTTCTGAGAGATTGTGCTCTAACCTTATTTTTCACCATTCTTTGCTTTGAAATGTTTTATTCAACAAAACCAAATTGCTGCAGCTCTCCTCAGACACCATGCTGTTCTCTACACAAGCCATGCTATTATCTTTGTTAGAAATATCCTCGTAGCTCCCAGCTACTCCTCTTCCGGATCTCATCAAAACATAGATTTGTAAGTCACAGTGGGTCTGGGGTAGGGCCCAGAGTGTATTTTGCAACTGCTACCCAGATGGTTCTAGCAGATAACAGGATTTTACGAACCACAGCTTTAAAATGATCCATCTTATCCTTCTCCAGGAAACTGCCCCTCACCCCATAGGCACCTCCCTGGTGATCCTGTAAATCCCTTCGCCTGCCTCCCTTGCACATTTTCCACACCTACATGAATGTCAGTGCTCTCAGCTCGTGTCTTTCTCACTGGACTGTGAGTGTCTTTAAGATGCTGCTTGCTCTGCTATGCATGCCCAGCAATTGCCACAATCCCCCACAGTGTCAGTTCCCATTCCACCAATGCTTAATGGTAAATAACTAGTAACCAAAAGTAACAGAGGGATGCCCGGATGGACAGCAGGTGGAAAGCAATTGATGAGGCTGCTCCTCTGGCCCGACTACAACATTCACAGGGCACCTTTACCTATGGAACAGAGCACGGCAGGCGGTGAAGTACGGGATACCGATGGCGGCGCCCTGCTTGAAGTCCAGCTGGTCGGGCAGTGCATACACCGTGTGGTCTTCAGCAAGAGCGTACTCTGCGTAGCCCCCTGAGATAGTGTTGTTAGTGAAGACTCGGTCACCTTTCTAGGGAAGAGATCACAGTTTAATACATGCACCAGAAACTGTTGCCACCATCCATAAATATTCCCACGGTATTTGTTGCATCTGAGAACCTCATAAACATAATTTCAGAATACCAAACACTGTAAATGTTTTACTGATGGAAACCACTAACAGGAAATGGGAATGTTACAAGAAGAGGCTGTCAAATCACACAATGACAACAGCGGTGATGAATTGCCTTCCCTGGGATCCTAGGAAGCCAGGCAGTGCATTTTGAGTCCTAAGAGTGTCACCATCCTATCCAATCCTCACATACTGAGCAGGGGACTATGGCGACCTGCACCTTAAGCCCCACCACCCAGACCAGGAAACAGAAGCACAAGAAAGCTCTGCCATTCCCTCCTATCGAGCACTTAGCAAAGGGCAGTCAACACGAATAGTTACTTGTGTGCAGGACACCAGAGAGCCAAGCTTCTTCCACATAACAAATGCTTTTCATGGACGTCCTCACCCCCATAAGAAGATTCTTATCTTCCCCTATAGAAGATTCCTGTCTCCAGAATCTACCTACATTCTTATTTCCAGAATCACAGTAAACTTTCAGTGAACATCTGCTGGGCCCTCACCAGCGAAAAGGGCACCCACAGCTTTATAGCTCCACTATAATTTTTACATCAGGGGAAATCAGACTGTGGGCAGGGCTCACCTTCTCTAACTCTTCTTTCTTGGAAAAACATAAAGTAATTATTCCTTGGAGTGAGCAAACATCAGACAGCTCTGTATATTTTAATTAGTCATATTATAAAGAAATCTGACTAGTAACAGCCTCACATCAAAGGATATGAAATAAAAATTCAAAAGGCATCCAAGAGAAAGGCATGAACGCTCATTACAGTCTCCTGCAAATGGTCAAGGATGACTAGAATAAGATTAGTCTTATTTCTGCAGCTTACATAGACCTAAAATTGACTTCAGTGTGCTACAGTACAGCACTAAAGTGTTCCTCATAAGTCTCATGTGTTTGGAGGGTAACTGGGTCATGAGGCGACTGCACTTATAAGTGGATTTAACTGGTGATTAGTTCAATAGCTAAATATATGACCCAGAAAGGAATATTCCTGTCCCCACCTCTTTCACCCTCTCCCTCTCAGGCAGGATAGAGGCAGTGAGTACACAAAGGGAAGGGAAAAAGCAGTTCTACTTAGGAAGGCCTAGTGAGGGAAACTGAGCCACAGCTCAAATCCAAGAGGTGGCCATTGCAGTGACACAAGAGAAGAACGGATCCATGGTAAGAAAAGATGAGCTGTCTCAGGAATGCTTAGTGAGAGGCTCCTAACTGTGGCCATGGGGCCCGGGGCTGTCTAGCACAGCTTCCTGTGGTGAAGGAAATGTTCTACATCTGCGCTGCCTAGTAGGGTACAGGAAGACATGTGGGGGCTATTAAACACGTGAAATGCAGCCAGTGTGATGGAGGAGCCAGATTTTTCAGTGTGAGCTTAAATGAGCTTGACGTGAATGTTCTAGTTACCTCAGGAGCCCATGGCTAGCGTTTTGGACAGCACTGTTCCAGAGGTAAGTTGCAAACCCTAAGCTAAAGGGAGGACATGTGGCACTAGAAATAAAGCGAGCACACGAAATCATCACGACAAGGGTTACCAGAACAAACACAAAACGCAACTGCAATGGGACAGAGAGCTTGGGTAGCACCCACAATTGTGAAGCAGCTGAAATCCAAGAGGCCTGAAGAAAGAAGACCAGCGAGGAGGCGGAGAGCAGGATAGGAGAAAATGATGTTGTGGAAGCTAAAGAAAGTTTTGTTTTGTTTTGTTTTTAAGAAAAATTTAAGTAGTTGAGAGGGTCGAATGTCACAGAGAAGTCGAGAATGATAATAACATAAAAGGGCCCATTAGCTCCACCATACAGAGGCCATTAGTGACAGGAGCAAGGATCTTCTCAGAGCAGCATGGGGGCAAAAGCCAGATTGCAATGGCTGAGAAGCGCAAAAGCTCTCGGGATTGGCTGCCTCCCGCACAGGGCAGGTCCTTCTGCTCACTCTCGGCCCAGTCCTGGTCAACGCATTGCGAAAGTGGTGCGGGTCAGGACATGGTGAAGGCAGGTGCTACAATATGAGCATCCCATGAGCACACCATCAGTGCTTCACACTCTGGTGGCCTGCAAACAGCAAAAGCCCCGATCACAACACTTTTTTTCTTTTAAGCGGATTTAGTACAGGGTCTACAAGGTCTCACTGTGTAATCGGACTCATTGTGATTCTTCTGTTTTCAGCCTCCAAGTGTTGGGATTGCAGGCACGCGCCACCACACCCAGTCTCAATTGCCATCTCAGCGTGCCTGAGGATGGAGTCAGCCTGGCATACCAGGGATCGAACCCCAGTCCCTGCATCTGCCTAAGAAGGCGCTTTAATCTGCTGAGCTCTCTGGCTGGCCCTCATAACACTTTCACTGACCTTGGTCTGATTTGAAGCTCTGAACTGTATAGTGACCTTGCACATTTTCATGCTTTATTCTTCAAAAGAATTAATTTTCCTTTTATGTCATGTAACTAAATTTATAATTTTTTTTTTTAAAAATAGGTTGGCTTGACAACTACTAAACATTAGGAAATCATATGCAGAATTTTCTTTATTTAGAAACTGTATTAACTCAAAAGGATCACAGTTTATTTTGTGGAAATATAAAGATACAGGAATTATCCAGCATTTATTCCCACCAATGCAAACAAACAAGGGCTCCAGATAAAAACTCATTTCTTTTTTGACTAGAGGAGTCCCCCAAGTGGCAGAAACTATGTAATAGGGCCTTTGAAAGCCTCAAATACAGATACATTTTAAAGCTGTGTTAAAGTATTTTAAGACAAAAAAGAAATAATGAAAACTGTAATACCTTGAAAGCAGACACATTATTCCCAATGGATTCTATAACCCCCGCCACATCAGTGCCAGGGGTATAGGGTAAAAGCGGTTTTCTAATATAAGTACCAGTGCGAATGTATGTCTCCACGGGGTTGATACCACATGCATGGACTTTGATTAGAACCTGCAATGACAACATATTTTACTTCACAAAGAGCATTTAGGTACTAACTCATGATTATAGGATCTATAACAGTGAAGGAAACAAGACAAGTCCCTGATTCCAAAAATCTCACACTCTTAACTTTTCAGGCTAACTTGTAAATGAAAAGAAGGCGATATGGAAAACATCACGATATTAAGAAAGTCAGGGCAACAGTAGAGGAAATACGCAAAGGAGGTGCAGCAGAGACCTCCACATGTTCATCAAACATACTGGCTTCTCTTCCTAGGTACCTAGGACAGACATAATTTTCTGGTCTCCTCTATAATCACAAATAACCAAGGGGCTGGGCTACACCAGCAGAAGGTGAGCCAAGGTGAGGGTACTCCCGGTGGACTGCCCCACAGAAACCTTCCTAAGCCATGCACACGTTCACCCTTTCTGAGAAACCTGAAGTCACGCACTGAAGTTGGCAGAGTCGTAGGTGACAGAAGCCTGGGTCCCTAATTCACCAGGGCAGGTGAGCAAGGCATCACCAGTTTAGAACTTGGGAAATAACTTTCTACTTTTGAGCCATTAAGATTTTGCAATTATATCTATTAGAGCAGCTCATTTCCCTTTGATACAAAATCATTTTTCTCTGATACAAGAGCAGTTCACAGAAGAGTTAGTTGTATCTGACTTAGGTCTGAAAAGATGAGTAGAAGTTCTGTAAGGATGGGAGAAAAAAAGGTGTATTTCAGGTAAAAAGAAAGGTATGTACACTGATAGAAGGAATGTAAGGGCCTCCTGGGAAAAATGGATAAAGTTTGATGATATTCCAGGTAGCCTACTAGGGAAGTGATAAATCTGTAAAGATAAACTATAGTCAAATTGTAAAAATTCTCATAAAACTTGCTGAGGAAATTAGAGTTGCGAGCTATGGAAGGTGTAGTAATAAAAACACATAACTTTGAATCAAAAGGATATTGGTAAAGTCACTGGAGATGATTATACTCTTCAATTAAATTACTTAAAATCATATGTGAAAAAGCATGAATGAAAAAGCAAATTGTTTTCTCACCATGTGCAAAATAAAAAGCACAGAAGTGCACAGCAGAAAAACTGACCCAAGAATACTTCTGACTCCATTCAGTAAAATCCAATTATTACACTCTATAGGGGACTCTCAACTTCAAAACGTTTTTCCCATCACTGTTTTCTATGTCTGCTTCACTAATGATATTTGTGATAATTTTGTCAGGTTTAAAAATACAAGCAGTAGGAATTCTGTCCAAATTCAATGTCCTAAGAAATCACTGTGATTCCTCAGAACCCTAAGTTCATGTACTAGAGTCTCACAGTTGGAACAGTCTTTGCCTGGATAAAGTAATTATTTCCACCTGATGTTCTTTTGGAACTGGCACGACAACATCCGACTGGAGTTTCAGCACTTCTGGTCCACCAAATTCAAAAACTCTAATAGCTCTCATCAACTTCTGTCTAGTCGCCATGGTGATGTAGACACTAAGAAAAAAAATCAATATATTGTCACAACGTATGTAGGCTATCGCTATTATTTTCTCCCTTGAGGGGGCAGATCAAACAACTTTTCAAAAAAAACAACTTAAATCATGAGGTTACCACTGATCTCATTTCATGTTTAAGGACCTTTCATCTTACAAATCCTTCAGCTACAAAGCCAAAAACTTCATTCTACTTCCTGCAGGGATTTAGGGCCTTCAACAAGGGATTTAACATGCAAACAGAAACATCTGGACAGACATAGCATGATGCTGTATCTTTTTTCTTTCGTGTAAGCTTGGGTCTCAACTTCTTGGAAATTTTAGGAGCTAATATAAGGTCTATTGACATGAAATAAGTGACCCCCCTTTTTGTAGATGATGGCATCCGGGCAATATTTCAAACATATTGAGAAACACAAAGAATGTAATAAACACACTATACCTAGCTTTAGCAAATCTTAGGATGGTAAAAACCTAAAATATGATTAAAGCCCACTGAACCACTCCCTACAACACATAATTTCAGTGCTGATCCTCCACAAGCCTGTTATACCACTACTATGTGTGTGTGTATTAGTAAGCAATATGTGCCACTGGTTTCCAACTTCATTTAGATTGTACTGTTTTTGAGATTTATCAGTGTTGAAATATTTGATTGTATTCAGTTCAACAAAAAGAATACTAAAAACTAAAAGCACTGTTCTGTGCACAGCTTCTGTAAATCACAAGTGCTTGGCTAACCTTTTTATCCTCTCAGTTAATATTAAACTGAAAAAGAAAACTCAGAGCTCAACTCTATGAAAAGGCAAAGAGCATCAGTATATAAGATTATACAGTTTTAGAAAATCTTCTGTAACTGTAAAGATGTAATAAAAGGGTTTTGACTACACCACCATAATTTTAATTGTGAGGTTATCATAATTTCTTTAAATAAACCTCATCAGATACTTTTAGATTCTTCTCTGACCCACCACACTCCACTAACTTCTGTAATAATCATATCCCTCAAACACAAGCAGTTGAAACACCAGAAAGAGTTGCAGGAGCAAAGACCTGTGATGGAAGAGCTCAGACTTGATCCAGGAACTCAGCACAGGGCTCATCAGAACAGATCCTATGCTGCTTATTAAGTGGCATTCCATTTTGTGCCAGGGTGTCAAAATTATTTGGGTGGCATTATGAATGTAAAGTTGTTGACACAGTTAATCAATCATGTGTCATTCAAAAACCCTTCCGTTACGGGACACAAAGATGTGCACTTCCACACCCTGAAAGGCCATCCTCCAAAGCACAGGGCAGACCCAGGCAGAGGGGATGACGCTGACCACACAAAGGCATCCGGGCAGCAGGCAGGGCAGGCAGACCCAGGCCCCCATCTCAGGACCGCGCATTTATGTCTTCGCTCCAGCTGAGACTTTTGTTAACAAGAGAAACGGAAACAGAGAGGAAATAAAACAGAAAAAGAAATAGTGGTCCCGCTCAGTTTTTCATCGTAGAAAAAACAAGGAGTTTTTCCTTTCTTGTTTTCTTTTTTGTGGAACAGAAGGAATGTGGGGTTTAAAACTCAATGGTTCTGATTTGCAATCTTTGGTTTATCATTTATTAGCCTTGGCTCCCTGGGAAGAGAGTCAGCCTTTTGAGCCTCAGTTTCCTCCCTGGAAAACTGGGCTCCCACTCAGAAGTACCATGCTAGAGACCTGGCTCCAGAATTTGACCACAGCAGGCTCCCATACACAGTACATCTCACTAGTCTGTTCTCATCTATTCTTTCTAGCTTCTAATTTGTAAACCTACATTCCATTCTTCAGTTCTAGAATCACCTTTAGTTTGACAAAACAGTGTTAACCGGACTCTACTTGGGAAAGCAAGCTATTGCCCTCAGAGAATCTAGTATCGACCATCAAAGCAAAACATTCACACCAAACACTGGACATTTGTCATTAATTGTACTTTTACTTGACATAACATGTATTCAGCGTATTATGCTAAACCCAGGAATCACAAAGGATGCAGAGAAAATGCTACCTACCCTTAGCTCCTGGCCTCACACACACTCTGTGTGTACATACAGACACACAGACACACACCCACCCCCACAGGTGCATGCACAGGCAGATGTGGGGTCACACACACACACACACACACACACACACACAGTTGCAACTGTATTTCCATCAACAGATATAATTTCAGAAAAAAAAAGTAACAATGAAATCAAAGTTATCCTGAAATAGAGTCTCTGCCTTGTTTCTAACTCAGTTATTTCCTCCATGTTTTGACACTGGCTAACCTGACAGAGAGAAACAGAAAAAGATAGAGACCCCTCCCCTTACGACCTGCCCTGTGGAGCTTGCAAAGAGAGGAGTACAACTTTCAAGGGACTACCTTCTACTTTACTTCTGACCTTCCCACTGCACCTTCCCACTCCATACAATCAGTCTCCAATCTACAGTCACTGCCTCTGACCTCAAATACAAGATCATCACCTGTTTCAGAATACAGGAGCCATATCAAAGGGACTTCTAGAAAGAATAAAATAATGTGACCTACAAACAGCAATAATAATTCTTGGGGCTGGAGAGATGGCTCAGTGGTCTAAAGCACCTACTTAGAACAAGTTCAGCGAAGCACAGGGACCACGGTTCAATCCCCCAGCACCACATGCCAGCCAGCCCGCCCCCTGCTGGGCTGAGCTGGCCACACACACACCTCTCTC